TTTTTTTAAAATTTTTAAAGTATAAAATTGTAAATTTGCAATTGTTTAAGGAAAGAATGAAATAAAAAATCTAAAAATGTAGTTGTTATTTAAATATTTTAAATGAATAATACACTAACTGAAGAACAACCACATTTAATATCCTGACGGTTCAAAAAAAGCGACGAGGTAAAGAACCGTAAAGAAACCCTCGAAGGAGCTTATATATCGCTCACCTAAAAAAACTAATTACATATCTACATTAACATAAAAAAATTGTAACTTATTCTTCAGAACTCGGACTTCCATCTGTTGTTGCATTCATGTAATGCTCCGATTCGAGTAGGTACGATGACTCTTGAGCTCGACGTCTTGCCAAGAGCCAATCTTGGTTGCAAACCAGTGTTTCAAGAGATTCAGCGCTAAGACAACTTCGAAAGTCGGTTAGAATGTTGCCGCTAGCACTGAATTCTCGTTCAACTGCTACGGTTGATACCGGAACGGATAACACTTGTCTTGCTAGCATGCCGAGACATGGGAACATGTGTTCGTTCCGCTTCCACCATCCGAGCACATCAAAATCCACGTCGTCGTCGTCGTAATCGCATGGCACACCCTGGTACATAGCAAGTTCGTTGTGCGAGCTTACTGTTGTACCACTTGAACTCATCGAAGAATGAGCACGCTTCCCTTTCTTTGCAAGAAGACCACCGACTATTCCGGCAAAACCTTTTTTTGATTTCGGAGGCGGAGGTGGTGCTGCTTCTTCTTGTACAGTGCCGTATAACCCCTGATATTCCTCAAACAAATTCTCAAAAAAAGTTACAGCATTATCTCTTTCTTTTTTCCATTCTACTAAATAATTGTAGTAATAACTATTTTCATCTAAAAAACAACTGTAGTAATACTCAATTAAAATTTTATAATTTTCAATCTTAAAACGTGGATCACAAATAATACCTATTTTATAAATATGAGGAATGTACAAATAATAAGCACACCATTTTTGTATCATAGGAGAGACATATGGGTACAAATCTGGATCAGCCTTACTTTCACGAAAACATGTTGCGATTGTAACACACTCTTTTAAAAATGTATTTGTAGTTGGTTGGTAAACATGAGAAAAAGTAAGAGTTGCGTTATTAAAAACTTCTAATACGGCATTCAATTTTTCAACAATAACAAATTCAAAAGGATCAATGATTATAAGAAGTTCATTCCTAAAAAATTCAGCAAGTTCCTCTTTATATTTTAGAATCTGGTGAATCAATTTGTATGTACTATTCCATCTAATGTGGATATCTTTGGCAAAAACTATTTCTTTTCTACCCTTAGACTTACAGAACATCTTCCAGGACCTCGAAACAAGACGAGCCCCCCAAATTTTTTTAATTCCTTCTTTAATATTCGTCAAAACTCCGCTCATAGCTTCTAGTCCCTGTTGAACACATAAATTTAAAAACATGACAGGCACACCGTTGATGCAGAAATCTACCCATAGACGTAGATGGTGGGCAAATTTCTCTAAGTCTAGGAATAGCTGCAGTATTATTAGTAGCATTATCAAAACCAAATGAAAACACTTTGTCAGATAAGTTGTATTCCCGCAGAATACTCTGAAGCAATAGGAAAATATTTTCAGCATTATGCTGTTCATTGAAATCACGAAATGCAAGAACACGTTTATGCATAATCCAATCACTATCTATCCAATGACAAGTAACACCCATATAAGACAAATTATGATAAGTTT